TGATCTTGTGGCTGCTGTTTAAGATTCAAATCCTCCGTTTTTCTTTTGGGCGCAAACAAAGACCGCCCCTAAATTAAAAACCTAAAGGACCTGAAACTAGTTTTTGAGATCAAAATTGTCTCTGAAAGGCTTTAAAAGATAAAAAGAGAAGTAAAGAAAAAAGAGACAGGTATGGGACATTGTCTCAGAACAAATTTTAACGTCTATACTGGTTTGTTTTGGTCGGGCCTCCCTTGCGATCCAGACCCTGTGGGGTATCTGGCAACCACTCCAAAAATGGTTGTACTGTTGGTCCTGTTTCAACTAATTTATTTATTTTATTGATTTATTTATTTATTTAGATCCGGGCGATGAGATCCGAAAAATCCATTTTAAGGATCGGAATTGTGGCCTTAGGAAAACTGGCACATTGTTAATACCAATCATATATCCCCCCCCCCCCCCCCCCCCCCCGGAAATGGAAACCATGGGTATTATTATTTAAATAGATTAAAAGTGAGAAAAGAGTGCAAAATCCAGTGCCATTTTTTTGCCGAAAACAACAAGGGTTATTTTTTACACTTAAAGCATCCGATTCTCCATCAATTGAACTTTGTACCCCCAAAGTTAAAAAAAACATTGTACTTATCAAAGGGGGTAAAAGTTGAGATTTTTTTAAAACCCTGAGAGAATTTTTTCCTGAAAAAAGAACTTCGGGCTATCAAGTTGAAGACTCGGGCAAAAAAAATTCAGAAATTAAGCGCAAACGCAATAGAAATACAAAGATCCTAAGGAAACTTCGATGTGTGTCTAGTGAGCAACACACCTCCTTTTAGAAGAATTTTTTGATTTAAACTCATTCCACCTTTTTATTTTACAAACCGACCGACTTTTTTTTTATTTAGTGGAATTAGAAGCGGGTCGATTTTTTTTTTAATCTCATCACTAAATAGTCGGGGTTGGCAACCCCGACTATTTTTTCAGTAGAAAAAATAGTCGGGGTTGGCAACCCCGACTATTTAGTGATGAGATTAAAAAAAAATCGACCCGCTTCTCGGCCACGTTGCTGACGTGGCCGAGAAGTGGGTCGATTCCGCTAAATAAAAAGGGAGTCGGTCGATTCCGGTAAAAAAAAGTTGAAATGGGTTTAAAACAAAAATTTGTTCCCTCCTTTTATGTTCACATCTAACCCACAGGAACTTCACTGCATGCAGTTTGTCACGTATCAAAAGGTCTACATCCTTCTATGCGTTCAACTGTTCGAGCGCAAGAGGTCACGCCCACTCTTTAAACGTGGGTTCAGAATTTGGAGCAACCCAAGCGTCACCCACTACAGTTGAACCACTACAGGATTGAATTATGAGGACCTACATATCTGAACAAATTAAGAGAAGAAAAATATCCACTTGGGTTCACAGTAACATCCAGGGTTAGGGAAAGCACTAGGCCGCGTAGGCGCTGGACCAAGCCCCTAGAGCCTAGGTGTCGTCTATGCAGGAGCCTAGACCAAGTCCAGATGGTTTTCCTTTTTTTTTCAGCTATAATAATTAATACTAAACACCAAGATTATAGAAAGCGCTAGGCACCGCTAAACATTGGATTGGTGCTTAGCACCTAGGCGGCTAGATGGATTTCTTTCTTTTAAGCGGTGGTGGAGGTTTTCTGCAAGTCGGAGGAGGTGGGGAAGATGTTCATAGTTAATAGAGGTGATCACAGAAGTCTGAAAGAGGTAGAAAGACATAGTGGTTACAGCGGAAGACTTCATGACCTGGATCTAAGATATGCAATCCGTGTAAGAGGCTCACGCTCCCCTAGGCGCTTCCAAGACCTAGGCGAGCATCGATGCTGGCAAGCCGCCCTAGGGGTGGGCACTAGGCTGGGTGGCCACAGCCTCCTGATCGCTTTAGTTGGACGACCGACTCGGTGCAGGATGTTGCCTGATTCACCCCTACAATAGCAGGTTGACGGATAGTGCTAGGTCACCCCAAAGCCAAATGCGAGCCAACAACCTGCTTGGCCCACAAGGCCTGACGAGCGAGCCGAGCCTATATGCGAACGAGATAGCTCGCTTGTACCGACCCGTGGGCTCGCATTTTGTTAGTAGTAATATCTCTTTTTCTTCAAAGTTTATTGTAATTTTTTTGTTCTTACATCTTTTTAAATATTATGATACTCATATGCATTAAATCTCTGCGTTTGTGATGATTCGCTCTATAATTGTATGCAAATATATAATTTTACTTGATAAAATTATTTTTTTCAATATTTGTAATCACATCATTGTTAGTTCGCTATTATTTACATTTAATTGTTAACTGTTAAAACAATACTAAATTGTTAAGTGTTAAACAATACTAAAATAACTTATTAAAAATTATTAAATATTAAAAAATAATTAAGTGGGCGTCGTGGGTTGGCTCACCTCACCATTGAGCCCGCATGGGCCGGCCCGCAGGACGAGCCAGCACGGCGCGTTGCCCACCCCTAAAAGCCACCCCCTCTTTAAAACATGGGTAATATCACTTTTGGTGCTATTAACAAACTTCTTCAGCATGAAGCAATTGCTAAGATCGTTGATGGAAATAAATAAATAAATCCCATTGATTTTGTTCAATCACCAAAAACAAAAGGACTAACCTTTACGCAGGCAATCGACTATTTGGCCCACACATCATTACAGTCATCAACATCAGCTCATGGAGTGCTCACGCCACCTTTAGGTTGTGCTGTTGGCCTCAGTGCTGCTGAAATTGGAAAGCAACCGTCCTACAACCAAAAAAAAAAAATTTGCTCCTCGATCGCACAGCTAAAAGGTCAAAGGTAAATATCAAAGTTAAACCAATACAATCATTTCTAGAGGTCACAGCTTTGAAAATGTTTGGCATCTCAATGACATGTTTTTGGCATCCGAACTCATTATAGATTGAGTGTTAGTTATACCTGCTAGTTCTTTGGTGAGGCATACCCATTAGTTCAATGCACCTGGAAAAGCATTTGACTGTTGGGAATCGTGATGAGAGGATTCCCCCTAGACCAAAAAACATCACCTTCAAACATCTGCATCACATCAAAAGAGTGGAAATTTAGAAGATTTATAAAAGCGACTGACGACTGATACGAACAACAGTATCTTAATTCACATTTTTTTTAAAAAAAAACAACAACAATAAGGGTTCATTACTGAAAGCATCCAACTAATAGATGGGAAGCAAGCAACTCCAAATCTTCAGGTTTTCGTAGTACTACCATAAATAAAAAAAAATTCCAATTACATCCCAAGGATTATACTCACGACTGATGTTTAGGATGAAACTTTCCGGAAAATCGCAACAGATGCAAAACCGAGATTTTATGTTTTTCAAGATTCTGAAGTAAATTCAGCATGATTAACTTTCAATAAACAACTTCATGTTAGAGAGAGCTCTTGACATTTAGCAAGTCACCCTTCACTATACCAAAGTTAAAACTAAAACACAGGGTTCTCGTATCACGCAACTCAAAGTTGCAAATTCACCATGTTTCCTATGCTAGTTAAGGGCAGCCGAAGGAAGGGAGTAGCTTCAGAAGAGTTAACAACATGTATTGATAAGTAAGAACCAGCTGGTCGAGAATATTCAAAATTCCTTGAATTATGTAAAAAAAAAAATCAAATAAACATGTGATAAAGATGGTAGTTTTCGGATCAAGAGTAGAAATGAATTTTCAATGATCTGCAAACACTTGTGGTACTTTTGTAGATCACACTCTAGATATCATTTAAAGATTTACTCAGAAGACTTTGGGGATAAACCTTGTCATATATACTCATCACCAATTGCCTACGGACAAAATTCAAGTGAAAAAATCATTGTGCATGGATACGCTTGTATTAAGAGAAGTTGATGGTACGAGGATGGGATGACTCAAATTGCAAGTAAGTTTGAAAAAATAAATAGAAATGTGCAAAAAATAGTTGGATGTCGCACCACTACAATCAGATATAAGTTAAAAAAACCAGTTAAAATAGTGTAGGCAATGAGAAGGAAAATTTGATTTTCGAAAGATGGTAGATGCACTTTATTGTCCTTAACAAATATAAATCCCCCTTCTTGGTTCATTCGCAAACTTGAATTCTCTGCCATGGTAGATGCACTTTATTGTCCTTAACAAATATAAATCCCTCTTCTTGGTTCATTCGCAAACTTGAATTCTCTGCCATACACGATCCTGATAGCTCTTTTTGTGCCTCAAGGCTACCAGGTGGATATTTCAGCAGGTGGAAGCACATATACAACTGTGAAGTGTGAAGCTCGTTTGAATAAATTAACTACGGGAAATAATACAGAATTACTAAAATCCTCTAAATTTTCATTTGAGCTACTTCACCGCATAGTAGGTTCTTACATACTTGATTCTTTTAAGTTTCAAGAGACAGAATGATGTGTAAACTTTAAAAGCATGTATCATCCCCATACGGCAACTAAACGTATGCATACAGGTATGACCATACAGTAGCGACATACAAATCTCAATATCAATCTCAGAATTGCTCCACCTCGCTCATACCAGCATCAGGAATTTCGATGGTTTTGCCAGTTTCCTATTGAAATTATTGATGCATAAGATAATCCGGCATTCCGATTATTCATTCCACCAATTTCTTACCATTACCTATTATGACCATGTTAAATCAACTTTTGATACCTCAAATCTTATATCTCATAATGTAGAGCTGCTATTAGCCAACACCAATCTCTATTGTACACTATCAACCAATGACAGGGGTATCGATTCTGAAATGACATCCTGATATGGGCTGATGCTTCAAACATAGTAAAATATATTAGCATATACTCATATGACTATAATATAATTCTTGGAAGACTTGATTCCGAGAATTAATGATTATGCCAAATAACGTATACAGACGGTCAGGATTTCCTTACGCCTGCCTTACTTAAAAAATACAATAATTATCTTCAAAGACATGCCTACTGGAATTTCATCCTTCCTAGCACTCGTCTGTTCACATTAGACTTCATCAACATTGCTCCGACAGTCCTACTCCTACCAGCAGCCCCAGTGGGCAGCTCAACTACAACTCGTGGAAAACAAACCTAGGAATTGTAAGCCCTAAATTCCAAGTAGTGTCGCTCCCAGCAACTACATATAAAGTAAAGAAATTGGAGCTACGATACCCATCCTGACCTTACCAAAATAAGACACATTTCAGATATTTATATGATAATTCACACACCTATTACCATCAGATGCACAATGGAAGAACATACGTCACATATAATATGACACAGGGAAGAGCATCAGCATGAGAGGATAACCTCCAGCAGTACGTCCAAGAACAAAAGTAACAAGCACTTCTGCGACAAAAGGTTACTGCTAACGTCTGGATCCAAACAGGCTAAGAACGCAAAGATTATTTCTATATTAATCAGGCTTACAACGGAAATGCAGGAGAAATTGTTCTCAGAATGAGTTAGCAATTACCATGAAACCTGATCAAAAACTGCTCTGAGAAAAGTAAAGAGAGCACCTTTTTAAGCAACGACTAAGCCAAAACTGAGTTCCTTCTTGCATACGACATCACCCCTGGATATCTACATTGGGACAACAGCTCCTGGTATAAAAAAAATTGAAGTATAACATAATTAATGACATTATAGAATATTAGAAATAGATATTTTTGGGAGAAAATACCAGAAAAGCATAATTTAAACAATGTACACTTCACTAACTATTCAGGATTCGACATGTATAAAGAAAACATACAAAGAATAAAGAGATGGGAGAACCGAATTCTTCTTCCATAAAAAAGAGCATACCTGGTCGTATATGGGAGAAAGAACCACGCAAGAGACTTCAACAGATATTAAGTGATTCACTGAAGGAGAAATGGCTAACAGAAAAGATCATGTATAGAATTATGCTTCAAGAATTAATATCCCTGTGCATGTCTAAAGCAGACATACCAACTTTTTCATGTTTAGCATACTTTGAGACAGATTAAGGCATCTGCACCTGCTTTGCATACTTAACATATCGACAAAATTGCGGAGGAAGAAAACAAATATATCGAAGAGAAAAAAAAAGGGCTAGCATCATGATGATTATTTGGAGGAACCCATTAGGTACCAAAGACTTTCATCCACATATTTGGTAACAATCCCAAACTTCAAAAACATAACCACTAATACCAAAAATGCCTATTATCCATGAGCAAAGGTAAATTCCTACGAGATAAGAATGCCGACGTGCAAGTCAAAGAGCCAAAGAGCCATCAGAAGAATTTGATTAGGGATGAAGTGTCAGTCTACGAGAGAGAAGAAACAATTTACAGAACAAATTTCTCATGCTACAATCAGTGAAGCACAAACATCAAAAGTACTAATAGTGGTATAATAATTATTAGTCGACAAAAGTCTATTACAGAAACAAAGTAACTTAAAATGCTGAGCACAATGAAGATATAAGCACATGCACAAAAACCTAGTTCATATTGCCAAGAATGTACCAACACCTAATTAAAGCCAAAAAAAATCAAGATTCATTAAATGATCATTACTTGATGGCCACGTACAAAGATCGCATCCTATTTTGAGTTATCCCGCAATGAAAGTAAAATAAAATAAAATATGAAAAAAAAGGGAAAAGAAAAACTTTAAACCCCAACAAAAATTTGCAGCCCTAATAATAATGTAAAATTTTTACAAGCACTAGCAGTAGAAGTTGAATAATTATGATGCCTTCCCTATGAGGACAAAAAAATCATTAGGTTCAGCATCCCAAATTAGCATACGGATGGATAATCTGTAAATTGTAGTCATAAAGGTCTTCTCTGTGCACCCACATTATCATCACTATCCTGAAGGCCAAATGACTTGAAGTTGGCGTTGTGATTTCCATTACTGCCATTTTCAAGATGGCTTTTTTCTTCTTCTTGAGGTCTCCGAGGTGAATCCCCAATTTGTCTCTCACTACCCCTGACAAAAGCCCTTGGGCTCTGCCTTCGCTGAAATTCCGAGGACCTAGGTCGTGGATTCTGAGCCATGAAGCTGCTTTCATCATCATAATGCAACCGCTTCATACTGCCATCATTAACATACTGCTTTCCAGAACGAAGCATTTCATATCTGTCACCATTCTCCCTTCTATCATCACCCTTTCTATCATATCCGGATCCTCTGCCAAAACACCCAAATTCAGGGAACCTTCCGGTGTTTGTTGGGTGACGATACTCATCTGACTTCAGTCTTCCAAGGGAATTCATCAAATCAAATCTATGGCCTCGTGAGAAAACTCTCGGAGGTGGACTTCTTCCTGGACCTCGTCTGTATTCACAGTTTCTAAAGTGCTCTGGCTCTTCCTTCCTTCCATCAATCCATCTCGAAGCACGTGGCGGTGAATTATGATTTCTGGTCATCGAAACATAAGCTCGTGGCCTATCCATCCTAGCTTCAGGCTTATAATTTGGCGATCTGCTACGCTGCCGAAAGCCAGGAGCGCCATTTACTCCGCTGTCAATTCTGCCCCGAGGAGATGCCCACCGATGGGGAGAGCGAGTTCTGGATCGTGACGGTGATCTGGAGTGTGACCGAGATAGACGCAAAGGCCTTCTATGAGGGGGAGAAAAACTGTGATCTCTCCTAGATGGCCTTTGATGCATCGACGAAGGTGAATCTATGATATCAGCAGGTGTTGGTCCATGATACCTCTCCCTATGACTTCCACCATCCATTGGTGGACCAAATCTACCACCCTTACGTCGATCTGCGAACACAGGCCTATCTGGGCTCATATCTCTTGAATGGCCTCGTCTTGAATCCATACCAAAAGGTCTCTCTCTTTCAATCGGCGGATCACTCTTCCATAGAAGCAGCGCTGTGAGGCTGTTTTGGAGGAAGGGGTTGAAGATTGCCGACTTAAATGGCCGGCAGCACTAGCTTTAACTATTGTGCCATCGGGTGCAACAACAAAGCCATTGCTCTCAACCTTGGCAACAGCAGCTGCAGCTGCGTTTCTTGAACTGTGATGCAAGAAACTAGCTGAACGATAGTAACCAGATGTATCATGTCGACTGCTGCTGTGATGGTTAGAAGAATCAACCCATTGATCTCCCCTTCCCCTACCTTGCAAATGCGGAGGCGGTCCACTTCTTCCAATCGAACGAGGACCATCTCTATCCCTTTCAACTCGTGGACTATATCCATTGCAGTCATTGGACCTGAGAACATGATAAATATCATCAGGAAATGAGTAGCAGAACAAACTATAAGGTTACATTTTAAAGATTAGTCATCAAGCGGTTAAAGAAGAAATCACCTGCTTGGTCTGTAGGGTTTCTCATTTCTGTAGGACACATCAGATGACTGCATCTTGTCAATTCGAGATGATAAATCCCTTCTGAAAGATGATCTGTTGATAGAATCACCAGCACGCGATGGATATGAAGAATTATCAGTTCGATTATGGCTAGTTGACCCAACTCTGGAGTCCATGATTCCATTGCCAGAAGTTCTACAACCTCCAGGCAACCGATCCCATCCAGACATCTTCCTAAAACAAGTTGAATGGCCTGCTCTGGTGACATTATCAGCTTCTTTAACAAACCCATTGCCTCCAGAACCATTACCTTCTGAGGCATACCCAGCATTCCTCTTCCCAGGACCAGCATCCCTCTTCCCAGAACCAGCATCTTTAACATTTGCTAATAAGGAACGATTCTGAAAGGATCTAGTATTCTGTACATCCTTCCCCACCTCTTGATTTGGAATATCAGGAACAACATCTGGCAACACTACATTGTTGACATGCAGATTAGCAGAAGAGAATTTTGAAGCGGCTTCACAGATGTCTGCATCTCTATCGGACCCATAATCCACATGTTCAGTCTCCCCTTCTTCTGCTCCATCATCTAGCCAACAATTTGCTAGTGATTCTCTAAACTCCCCATCCTCATACTGAGAGTCATCATCACCAAGAAACTCAACTTTTTCCATCCCAGGTGCCTGATCAACATCATTCAGAGATGCATCTGAATGAGAGTTGCATTGAAGACGATTTTGTGAAGTAACTTGACCAGGATTACTCCGAGAGTCTGTGTTTGTTTTGCAAGTGTCTTCAGAACTCAAGATTGTGTTGGTTTTAGTAATGTCCATACCTTCCTCATGTGCGTCAATATTGTCAATCACCATTCCCACAGATGTTTTCTCACATTGACTGATGTCCTTTTCTTGGGACTTATCAACATTAGCACTGTCAGTTCCATCTAAAGAACCCATCTGTACTCTCGCACCAGACATGACATTTTCAACCACCATATCTTGACATATTTTTGCATCAGTCAGCACCTCAATACCTTTTTCAGAATCCTGATAAATAGATGAGTTCCCTTCAATCTTAATAGTCCCTGAATCAACAAATGACGATTCATGCTTCACAGCCTGCGGGCTTCTGGTGTGACTAATCTCTGCCATTGCAACATCAGCTCCAGCTTCAGCAGGTATCCCATCCACTCCAAGATATGCTCCAGAGTCATCAGAAGGATGGATAGTATTATCACATGAAACCAGACAAGATGGCCTCGTTTTAGATTCCAACTTTGCGTGCAAGTTAACACAATAAGCTTCGCGTTTTTCTTTATCTAAGTAAGCACCAGAAGACAAAGAAGAACATGGTACAGGACCAGAAGAAACTGCAGCATCTCTGACTGCAGGATTGAAATCTGCAGAAATTGAACATTTCTTACTCTTATCAACCAAAGAGTCAGTTTCTTCACAAAAATCTGCCACGCTAATTTGAGTATCGCTGAAATGTTTATCCTCAGGTGAGGTACCTCCACGATTAGAAAGGAAAGGCTTCCTTTCCTTAGAATCTGAGGCTGAATTATCACTAGAAACATCAGGTTTTTCTTCTTGCTTCGCATCTGACGCACAAGCAACATTTCGATCACCACCACACTGAACATCCCTGCTATCAACAATTTCTGAATCCATTGGCATACTTTTGGTATCAACAAAACCTACCTGATCCATAAAACATTCCGCAGTACCCAGTTTTTCATTGTGATCAGCATCAATATTTGCACATTTAGTAGTCGCTTGGTCAGGATTAGAAACTTCTTCGTGACTTTCACATGCATCCATATTGAGGTCCCAGTGAAACTTAACATCAGGAGATGAAGACTCCATGTTTTTATTTGGCACATTTTGTCGGAAGGAGTTCACAGAGGCCCCTAGATTGGATGATCCGTCAGACTTAACTTCATTTGATTCCTTATTAGGCAAGGCTGTGGAAGAAGATATTTCAAAAGGTAAATCAGTTCTGCCAACCAAATCTTCAGAGGTCTGAGGTGGTGTGTCATTCTCTTTTGGAACTTCTTGGACTTGTGAAGGATGCACTTTGGAATGTGAAGGATCAACATTTATGAAAATGTTACTGTCACAAGCAGCAGCAGCCAATATGGATATACCCGAAAAATCTGCACCATTACAAATCTTCTCACTTACCATATCAAAATCTGTGTTCTCAAACCCAGATTTTCTTTCTTGACCGAATACTGATACAGAACCCACGTTCCTATCAAGAGTATGTGGTTTCGAATTTTCAACAGAGCCTTGACATGAAACAGCCTGTCTTTCCAGAATGTGACTTGAATCATCAGAATATGAGGACGAATTGTGTGGAGGAGATGGAGAATTAGGTAGCAGAACCAGCCTTTTCTTATAAGGAACACTGCCTAAGGTATCACTGAAACGCCTTCCAAGAATGCTTACACCAACCTGCAAGCAGAACAAGAATATGTAAGGAATCATATTTATAGATGAGATATTTTCAGTGCAGCAACAAATAATCAGAAGTAGATTGAATGAGTGGACCTTCTCAGATTCCGAAACCCGCATGTCTTCAGTGCTCTTTGAATCTTTATCACGAAGATCCTTGCTCTTTTTGAACCTTCTTACAGGAGATTTCTTTCCACTGGCCCCTGTAAATGAATCTTTCTCTCCAAGATCCTTGCCCACTTTCAACTTTCTTGCAGGAGACTTCTTTCTAATAACCCCTGTAAATGAAGTTCTTGCTCTTCTTACAGCCCTCTGTCTGCCATTTGAGGCCGTCTTCCAGGTCAAGTGGGGATCAATAACTCTTGATAGTTCCAACCCTGTGTTGCTTAGCATGCTTCCTTGCTGGGCACCTCGCCCATCAACCGGTAGTTTGCCACCGCAGATCTTGCAAGTCCTCAAGCTTTGTTGCAGCTTAGGATTCTCAAGAGGAGAGGAAGAGCTTTTGGTACAAGAACAGAAATGGATCTACAACAGGAATATCATGTTATTAGTTAAAGTTACATCAAAATTAATAGTCTATAACAATTTACTGAAAGAATACCACTTAGAATAAAAAGGTAAAGGTTTGTGCTGTAGTCAAACAAAACATTTGACAAAATGCACCAGGAAAAGCACAGAGAAAGCACGCAAAAAACAAAAAACTGCAGTGAGGAACAGTGCCCACAAAACCACAAAAAGGTGCTATAAAATTTCTTCTAAACCTAATGACTTCAGGAGTATAGGTTCCAGTTCCGGCTTTTTGGCCAAAAATCAATATAATCCACCAGAGTTGCAGATATCAGAAAAGGCTAGTCAATACAATAAAAGCAAGGTGATGCCAAACAAAGTATAATTTTCTGTTTGATATTTATCTAATAAGCTGTGCATGTCTTACTCAAACATATCATAATTTAGCCCCCAAAAAAAAGATGCTATACGAATAACCCGATTGCCTAAAATCAATAACTTCTCAAACTGGTTGCACATGATGTGCAAAATAGCATCTGAGAATCCAATAGTAATCATATTAACTTGAATGCATACGAGTTATTATGTTCACATGAATGTATATAAATTGTATCTCCAACACTGCACACCACCCAGAAAAGAGAACCCACCATTGATTCAAACTCCTTAACATCTTTCTGACACTTTGAAATAAGGAACTCAATGCAGTCACCTTGTCAGATCCAAAAGCCTGCAAAATAAAATATGTTACAAATCAGCAACTATAACCCAGCAGAAAAGCTCTAAGTTAATAGACTTAAACCAAATAGACACATCCATGACACCCAATCTACAAATTAAAATACTTGGAAAAGATCATGAAACAAGCTTAGGTCTCGTGCTGTAAGTATGAATTGAAGATTTAAAGTTGCAATGGAGCTAACCTAACATAATAATGTAAAACTTCAATCAACACAAACAGCACAAATATAGCAAAGTTCCTCGAAGCACTGGCAGAGGACAATGACCATGAAAAAAAAGTAGGCAAGGGTTCTTCCATCCATAATATCCATCAGGAGTGCTGCCCAAAGACCAGTCCCCTAGTGTGCCCTCCTCTTCTAAAAATCTAACCAGAAATTTGATAACCCTTCCTTTTGACATGACTCATTGGATCTACAACTTCAAGATATCCAGATCACCAGGATCTGATGGCCTATGTGAATATAGAGGTTCAGTGGTGCAAATATTCAGCAAAAATTGCCGATAGCAGCAGGACGAAGATTCGACGAGGATCAAGATGATCTATGTAAATATAATACCAATGTTCAGCAAAATTCTCTCCAAGGCATGAAATCAGCTGATCTCCTCTAAAAGAAGATGAGCAGTATCACAGATGGCCTAAAGCCTAAAGTTGAAAGTATCCAGCAAATTCCATTATCCCGACAGCAACAGGAGGAAGATGTGGAAGATGAATAATCCAAACAAAAGGTCATCAACCTGCAAACCCTAATTATTTCTAGAGAATCATTAGAACACAGAGGCAACAGGACTCTTCGTCTCGAATAATGAACGAATCTGAAGCCAAAACCCCATCCAAACAAAGAGTCAGAAACCTGCAAGCCCTAATTCTTCCTAGAGATGCGAGCATCAGATCCATCCCCATCCAAGACCTAGAGATCAAGAATACAGAGGCAACAGGACTCTTCATCCCGAACAATGAACGAATCTGAAGTCAAAACCATGGATCTCCACAAAAAACACAGCTTTCACCCTCAGATCTTCAATTTCTTCAAAAACCTGTAAAGATCCCTAAAATGGACCGATCAAGCCCTAATTTCGTCATCCCTCGTCCTTTAACCTGTCCCTGTCCACTGAGATCCAAATCCAGGCCCAAATCCAATAGAATCCTGCCTTTCTCCCATGGGGATCGGAGTGGTAGAACCCTAGCCGTGTCCATCCGACGAGAAAACAACCTAAAAACATACAGAAATCGAAAACTAGGGTTTCAGTACCTGGATCTGACCGTCGCCGATCTAAGGCCTTCGTTCGCTTCCTCTTCCTTCTTCAAACACCGACAACGATCGATCGATCCGATGATCGACAGAATAAAGACCTGATAAATTTATATCCAACGATGAGATTCTTTGCTTTCCCCTTTAAAAAAGTACCCGATGCTAAAGTGCGCCGATCTCGATCGCTTCGCTCTTGTGGTTTTCCTGTTGCCTCTGAGAGAGGAGCCATCAGCACCCCCGACCACTTATTTATGCTTTGGGGCTCGTCTTGCTCCTAAATGCCCACGTTTTTCTGATTATTTACATTTTTGCCCCTAGGGCGAGGGTTTGAAGTTTTCAGATCAGCCGCCGCCAGCGCGCTTTTTGGTTCTTATCGGGTCGGGTTAGGATTTGCTTTTTACCCGACCGCTCCAAAAAACAGCCCGAACACTATTGAAGTTTTCTTTACCTACTATACAAGTCGCCCGGTACACAATAATTTTTTTGTTGTTATAATTTGAATAGATAATAAATATTTTACATAACTTCACAAGTATTTTTAACACCCCAATTCACTTAATGGTGTTATATGGACTTTGAAATTTGCTATATAATTGTTGATGTTAAGTGATTAAACGGTCAATTATAATGATTGGGGGTGAGGTTGATGAGGGGCCGCTTCCTTTCCTGAATATCCGGTTCTGAATTTAGTAGCTTGAGCCTGCACATACAACAGTTCATGAGAGGACGGGGGTTTGATCCCCCGTGGTTTCTCAGATGATCAAGTCAGTTGATGAACTTGAGTGGAGTGGGGAAATGAAAAACTGTGTAAGTTCTTTAGCGTAGTGGAATTGCTTAAGATAGCATAAGATTAGGGAACTCAGATCAGAGATCCAAAGTCCTCTCTATGTTAGAATAGTACTTCCATTTATACTGGTTGTATAAGGGAAGAACCGTCATTGTGGCCGAGCATAGGATGACAGTGAATAAGTATGGGTTGACGGCTGCGTCGGCACCTTCTTTACAGGTGTCGGCTGACAACTGTAGGAGAGATCACTTCAGCATTAAATGAGAAGCGATTGGAGATATGACGGTGCTGACGTGGTCTGATGAGTCATGAAGACAACCGAGCTAGAGGCATGATGACGCCTGCCAAGCATTAAATGCAATGTTGACACGTTGTCAGTGGGAGAGGCTCGAGGTCGAAGTCATCCTCTAACTTGGTCGAGAAGTAACGTCTCTCAAGTTGACCTCGCAAGAGATTTGGTAATTGGTCGCGTGGGCTCACAGCGAGTCGTCTTCGACAAGAGGACCGACAAGTACCGCCCTTCGAGCCGTTCTAAGGGGATGTCGACTCGGCGGGTCGACTAAGTCAAGATCATTGGTGGTCTTGACCGCCAATTTGATTAGGACATTGTATGTATAAGGACACATGTTCGTTACTGGCAAAGGGCTACTCTTTGGTGGCGAGAAACACCATAATATTAATTATTTAACTGTGCAAAGTAAAGTTAAGAATAGTGGGATAGTTACGGAGTAATTGCTGGTCTTTTTCCAAATTTTCCCTCGAGCTAGTTTTCAAATTCTAAATAAAAATCCAAGGCATTATTGGCTTTTTAAAAAATGAAGCTTACATGGCCAAAAGCTTGATTTTTCTTAAATAGTAGTAGATAGATTACCTTAAATGGGTTAAATTACCAACTTGGCATATATGAGAAATGTGGGTATGCTTGGTAACAAGCACAAATTTTGTACTTGGTAGTGAGGTGACACAATCCCCTCCACTCATTCAAATGGGGGACCACATTCACATGATTTGATGAGTGCATGGTGAATCGGTGATATGTAACCATTTGAATAAGTGGAGGGGATTATGCCACCTTACTACCAAACTTACCCATTTCTCTCTCTCTCTCTCTCTCTATATATATATATATATATATATATATATATATATATATATATACACACATACATACATACATATATACACACACACACATATATATATATATATTAAATCTGCAAATAAGATAAATATAGAAGGTATAGGAATAAAGATCATGTTGCAAAAGTTTTTTACGAGATTAGATTTTGGTAACTCCAAGTTACTAACTCTAATTTTCTATTTATTATATGACATAAGAGTATTAGTTTCATCTTTATTTTGTATGATCTTTATCAATATGTTTATGGGTTTTCTATAGAGTGTCCATGGACACTCTATAAGAGAGAAGAGATTAGAGTTTATGGGTTATCAATATGTTTATGCAAATTAGGGGGCCCCCTCTTCATTCATTTCTCTCCATCTCTCTCCTCTCTTATAGAGTGCCCATGAGCACTCTATAGAAAAACCGATATGTTTATTATGATGACGAGGGTTGTTTGAAATAAATGTGGGTAGACTATTAATGAGGTCCAACCCTTGTACAACTACTTCTATTGTTTAAAGGAGATTATTAATGAGACGACTTATGATATAACTTTTATCTTGACATAGCTACACTATTATTTAATGCAAGACCATTGACGAAATGACTTAGGACTTATATTTTATTTTTTGAAATCAATTTGCAGCGCGGTGGTAGCAGGGCATTAAAAATCAGGCACAAGCAACGAATACGGCCTCGTATAACAACTTTTTTAGTCATTAATGAAGATTATTGATGGAAATTGCTTGCGATTAACTTTTATCGGAGCATTAATTGGGAAGTATGGCACAATCTTTTTCAGATTTCAGCTTTTTTGCTATATTTTTTATTTTAATATAACCAAGCCCTGAATTGAACTTTATTGGGCTCGTGCACGACCCTTTCATTTTAGAATTTTATGAAAAACATTATCAATAATTAGATATTAGTTCTCGATATGGCAATATTAACAGTGATCAACCAGCTAAAGACTTCAGGATTAAAATTCAAGTTCTAATTGCAACTTTGATCCACCAAAGTATAAGAGCAAGAAGAGATAATCCACGCTATCTATCAATTTATTATAAACATCGGCATTACATGGATGGTTAATATATCAATACAAGCCCCAAAAAAATGTCAAATCAATATTAATACAATCACCAATATTGTATCAACGCAATCAGATTGTACCAGTATAATCAAGCTTTTACATCAGTGCAATCACCAATATTGTATCAACGCGATGTTCTTCCCTGTATTATTTTCTACACAGGGATTTTTCTCTTACAAAATATGAGAGCAGATCTTACATGGGAATCCTAAAACCCAGTTACCCATGAATGGAATTGGTAATCGCATCAGATAAAAATTTAGAAAAATTCTTCAAGGACCCAAAATATGGGACCAATAGAGGGGACAAGTGAGGTGTCCCCCTCCTAGTTGGCCATCATTAATGATGGCCAACTCATTATCCAATAGGAGGGGAACAACTCACTTGTCCCCTCTATTGGTCCCATATTTTGGGTCCCTGTAGCAAAGCTCAAAAATTTAACCAAACAACATAAAAAGGCTCGAAAGAAGAATGCGATCATGTAATGATAGTTATACACATTTCGCAAAATCAACAAACTGAAAATGGCTTCAAGCTTTTCCATCTTTTTTGAAGAACAGTTAATTACTCGCATCCACAAAACTATCAAAAAGGCATTACCTGCTGAAAAAGTTTTGAGTCTTCACAATCGACCCCGATACAGCCACGAGCTCCATCTTTGTTGTGTACATGCAGGTTGAGCTCATGGAAGAAAACTGGGTCTTCTGTTCCACAAATAAAGATTGAAGAAATACTCTTAATACTTGAAGAACTTTAGTGAAACAAAACCATCAACAATGCCCTAATCGTTGCTAGTAAAATTACTTGTTTTCACTGCTAAATATTTTTTTACTTTGAAAAATGATTTACTATGAATAAGTTGCTTAAGTCAAATAACACAATGGAATGAAAATTAACAGCCATCACACGCAGGTGACGCAGCAATTATGAATCAAATACATATTTCTACGATTTAATGCACTTGTGCAGTTATTATAGATAGTCAAGATTAAATGATTCGTCAGGCATACCTCATTTGTTGCAAGATGCTCAAGTATGTTAGGTTGATTAAAGAATGGGTGAAAAAAAACATTTATACCTTATGCCAACTCTTTCATCCTCTGAATCATCGAGTGGTACAATTGTATTCAGTGCTTCCCAGTTCAGCACCATGCTGCTTAATAATCTTGGCAGCTTGTAGTAGAATATCTTGTTCGGCAGCGTATAGCTCATCTTTCCTCTACACATAAAACTAAACGTCAGCAGCATATTATAGCTGAAGTATAAAAGCGCTGGAAAGTGAACGAGATAATACTAGCTTAAGCGTATAGATAAAACAGTATTCTTAAAAGAATACCTGCTCACTGAAACAGTTTAATTCAGATTTGAAGCTCAGCTTATCATACATGCCAATTTCATTACAATTTCTTCAAAGTATATATTATTAACGAAACAGGAAAATAACTTATGGTGGGTCTAAACCAAACAGAAGCAGAGTCCCCTGCTACTATTTGAGCTGACATTCTTGCAGCCAAGTGATTTTGAAAGTTAGAATTGTCAAATTTGAAGCTAATTATTAGAAAGACCAGAAAACAGTGTTGCTTATAAACTGTAATTAATAGTTTTAGAGAAACACTTAGAAATTGCAAATATATTTTGTTATATTAACTAATGATCTTAGTATGAAAAACGAAAAAATTATAATGGAAAAGAAAAGTCACCATGTTTTTAAGATTACATCCAATAGTAAGCTCTGCAAATGAATTTTCTATCCTCGAAAGGTAGCAATATGGAGCATCCTTTCCTAGGAACACGTTAGGATTAGATCTGAGCATGGATTTTATCTCCTCAGAAACAAGGGGAATCTTTTCTAGATCATCAATATGCAAAGGGATTTTGGAGAGAATAGCACGCCATTGAGCACGTGACTTGTTTATAATAACCTGCAAGTTAATCAAGAAACATGGGTAATAAAGAAACAAATAATCCTGACCAGAAAATCTACCACATGCATATACTCTACATAAATGAGTAAACTCAAGGAGATACTTGGTTCCAATTCGCCATGGAAGTTTTTGAAATAAAATCTGCAGGAATAGGAGATACATAGAATTGTATCATTTATGAACAAGCACATTCCATTTCTTCAAAGTATGGATCAACAAAAACTAATATTCCAGAAAGTTCAATTACAATTATGAGAATAGTCAAAAGTTCCAATTCAACCATTTTATTTGTATTGAAATGCCAGAAACTTTGTAGTTATGGAAGATAAGAACAAAAACTTCAAGAACCATTCACAATGTACTGGTATCAGTGTGAAAAAAAGTTGAAAACAATATGCTAAGAAAAATATAATTTATTATAAAAATCTGAACCGTATATAATTAACAAGATTGTCTCCTGTTCATGGAAAAGGCCAGTTGCCTTTCCAGTCTAGAAAATTTGAGCATCATAGCTGACTGCTAACTCTTCCATGTTATGCCAAAATATATCATGAAGCATAGGATTTCAAGCGAAGCAAACCACAGTCATGGACTTGCACAGTGTGTATGTATAATCTCCATCTTTATGGGTTCCTTGGCTTCCATGTATCTTTCCATTAATTTAAGAGAGTAAAGATTAAAGATTTTATTCTTTACGAGATCCACTTTATCATTTCCTAGCTTCACTTTGATATAAGAGTTTTCAGAATTAGTTATCATATGTATCAATAAACTATAGCTGTTTTGAGTTTTTACGAAAAATCACAGACAAATATATCACTTTGCCACCATAATTGACACACAAAAAAGGAACCAATGGTGTCAACAGCTGCCTGGACAAGACTAATATATGAGGAAACAAAGAAGGTGACATACAAGTTATCGTGGGGCAATTTTGTCCAAAATCAGCTAACAAATGGTAGTTTAGTATAAAAAGTCACTGTATCAGCAAGAATTGAGATGGTAATGCTTGACAGTGGATAGGTAGGTGGGCAAGAAAGGAAATAGTAATACAGTATCATGTGATATAAAAAGAAAAAACTCAATTAAATGCAGTATCATAAAATGCACCAACTGGCATATATTTTGAAGAATTTGAACAATTCAACACGAAAGATCCAAAATGGCATACTACATTAGGTACCTGGCTGGAAAATAATGAATTTGGAACTATGACAGGGAACTTCTCAGGATTTATCAAAGATGTAGTAGTGAGTCCCATCTCAACCACTTGGCCTTCAACTGATCCAGCCTGCAGAGGATAGAAGAATTTTTTTATTAACTATGTGATCATGAAACTTCTAAAAAGTCTGATATGCTGCATGTGACATGTAAATAGTTTCTCACTGTTCCAATTATATTCAGACAAAGTACAAGCTGATGAAATATACACTAACATGCAGTGAGTTAATATGTCTATCACGTGGATAAGAAGACTCGTCTACCAGAGGCAACAAAATGAAGCCCTAAGGCATTCTCCTGTTATATATGTTCAGGACTATTATTCAATACACCCTTTTAGTTTAGTTTCCAATGTTTAATATCTATGGAGTATGTTTACACATGCATGCACATGCACACACGTACAGTATGTAGGATTACTGGTTGATCATACCTAATAATATCAGTGACCAATGTGCCAATACTGAAATTTCCACACCGATATTAGCAAATTCTAATAACATTAAGATGTAAAAATACTTCTCTAATGCATGCATGTCTAAGAATCTAGAAATCCATTTAAGTAAATATTGAATGACCATGCACCTCAAGAACCTATCAACATATGAAAATAAAGCAGACACTGACAAGTCAATATATACTTTAATATTATCTCCCACTGAGAAGGGTTTTGAAAATTGCACAGAAAGCCCACTTAGCACATTCCCAAGGATATCTCTAGCAGCAAATGCTGTAGCCACACCTGCATGATAATGGAATAAATGTTAGTACAACAAATTATAATGTAAAACCATGATAGATTAATACACACCAAGAACAACAAAGGCATAGCTTTGCCGCAAAGTTTTGCCCCCACATAAATCCTTTTCAACCATTTATTTCTACAGCCATCTGGGTTATTACCAAGATATCCTTGCTTACTTAGTCCATTTTTTTGTTCTTTCCCTCGTCCTATAGCTATGCACAGTTACATAATAGCACATCAGTTACCTTTATTACGTCCGTCCAAAAATCTAGTGTACTAATTAATATGAAATACAATAAAATAAAATAAGTCTCATACTTATTTAGCCATTGCATCCTCTTCATATGACTTGTATTATTTCTCCCTCTCCTATGTGCCATCATTAGCTACCTCATCTAGGACTAATTATTTACCTAATGAATATTCTCTTGCTGTCTCATTTAAGTTTCTCAATATACCTCTGAATTTTCTCCGTTAGTGAGTGAACACAACACTTCTTTGAATTTGCACCATGTGCTCTGTATGCTCTCTCTCAGTTTCAAAACAGCATTTCTTTTCGGTTTTTGGTTTCCTTACTTTTTGGAAAAATGAAACTGCACCAGTTGGGTTTAAAACAGATAGGAACAAGACCAAATTCTGGTCAGGTTTTTCGTTTTAGAATATGTAACATGTCATATTGGTGTCTGAATTTTCTACTCATTGAAAAATATGAACTAATTATGACAATTATCCAAACTGTACAGGCTGTTATGGTTATAACCAATGGTGTTCCCCTAGTTGACTTTACATGAGACCACACAGTTTATTCTATTTGATATAGGATCACTGTAAATTCACCCAGACTCCTTTAACCTAAGATCACAACCATTCAGACTGGCCATGCCATATCGTATCCATTTGGCACTTTCATCTTTAATTCTTTATGATGCAAGAACATTGCCAAACAGTAATACTTTAACTCAAAATCCTATCCATTCCCGTCAACTATTGTTTTGAAAGAGTTTAGCAACCTTGTCCCTCCTCTCCCTAAATTGTTTTGCAAACCAAGAAAATCTACCCAAGCTAAAAATATAATTGACAACTTACTATGACCAAACCACCAATATAAAGTAGTGAACGTGGTAGATGATTGTAAACTGTAAAGGATGAGCATAGTGTCTGCGAAGAAATGCATGCTTATGAACAATATAAAGGGAGCAACCCCATATGTAAAAGCACCTCGGATCCTATCAAGTACTGACAAATGATAAACATTATGAAGTAAAAAAATGGCTACCTATTACAGTCAGATGCCGCTATGCAAGTCAACTGCTCAGCCATATACATAGCAAATTGTAGAACTGATAAAAATATAATTAATTATTAGAAATGTGTTTGTAAGTATATTCAAGGTGTCATGGATAACTTGCATATCAAGAGAGTACTAACATAATATCATATAAAAAACAGAATGCAAAGTTCTCACTCGTATGGATATAATCCAATAGTTTAACGCCATGCAATAAAAGTTGAAGGTTGTTAGTAATTTTTTCTTCCCTTTCAAGTCTATTCTGACATATGATTCTCTCCACATTTACATCATTTTCAATTTACCACTCTAAATTGTTACCAATTGACTTCAGACTTCACCCACAATTTTGGCAAAAATACACTTAATCATAAGAAAACAAAATATCTAGATGACATAAAATATATTCAAATACTCAAAAGTAAATTTAAATATTTTCAACGCAAAGTAAAGCGTAGAGGAAATGATCAGAAGACATTGAAAAGTGGTGATATTAACCTATTAACATTTACGCAATAATCTATAAGCTACATTAAGAAATGTAGTGAATGCAGAAAAAACAGATTTTACTTTGTTACATTATGAACTTGGACCAACAACTTTCCTGAAAAATTTACAAACAATGTAATCTATTTGTCGGTTGGTGAGTATTACCTCCTATGCCACCAACGGTTAGAATTGACTGCACTGCCACACCACAAGCCTCAGCTAAAGCCATTACTGCAAGAATAAGTAGGCCTACGGACGACACTTTCTCTAAAGCCATCAATTTGTCTCGATCAAGCCCAACATTAACTTGGTTGGCCATGGCATTGCTAAAGAAATTGGTCTTCCACCTATGAAGAAACCACACAAAAGAAAGAACAACTGCACCTCTCCATGCCTGAGGTAAATACTGTGAAGTGGTTGGTGCTATCATAACTCCTCTGCAGAAGAAAACAAGAACAATGCAGTTAGTAATAGGACTCTTTAGTGTAGAAAGTATCACTTATATTGGAACCAAAACAATAAGTATAACATTTGTGCAAGTGCTGGAAGAAGAAAACGACTTCTCAGTTAATGGTGAATACAAGCTGTCATGCTATATTGTTTGTTCATGCATGGATGGTCCATTTGCTAAAAGATGCTGCAGAATGCATTAGTAGGCATGCCAATTGCCATGTATAAGTTATTTATTTTTTATGTTTCAGTTCTAAGATTTAAATCAAGCAAGCATGAAACCTTCCATTCTTCAGAAATCGAGGAAGCACAATATCATACTCAGACAATTAGATCTTCCTAGAATGCTATATATTCCTCTGCCACTTGCTCCCACTTGTTGTGATAGTACCCATATTCCAGTTAATATCTATACCTGAAAAAAACAGTTGATCCAAGAACATTACTTGTTAACTTGTCTCCTCCCAAATTGTAGGATGCATATTCACCATATTAGATGCTCTGAAGTCAATATAACAGTGCATTCTAAGTGCAATGGTACCCATATGACAGCCTACTAGGTAATCTGAATGGATGCCACACCAATAAATAACGTATTCTTGCATAAATTTCTACAAGGTAATAGCAGGATCCTTTATTTTTACTTTTGTTATTACTTTTTCAGAGTAGCATGCTAAAGAAGATGTAACTTTCTATGACTACCAATAATGCCTTAGACTACCTCCAATTTGTGCATGATGAATGGGAAATCCAATAGTGTTTGTGTGTACATGTGCGCGCGTGTGTCAAGATCCATTTTGGAAATGCATCACAAGAATTAATTGAAAGTTAGTAACACCATAGAGGTGTTAACTATCGCTAAATATGGCTGGAAAATGCTTTACGGAATCTCTTAGATGGGCTTTGTGGAAATATTCACTTGACTCACATGATTAATGCTCCGTGCGGTCTTTTAATCGGCAAAAATACCAAATTGATATATTTTGTTTACCCTTAGTAACAGTTTGATATATTTTTTTTTCGGCGTCATATTAGTATATTATTTTTTCTCCGGCGACAAATGAGCCTCAAATTTGGCCGGACCCAAATTTCCGGCGAAATTTCTCACGTGACGCCTCATGTGGTGCGAAGTGGCTTCCAGTGTGGCTTCTAGAGTCATAAATCAGCTCCAATCCCAAACCCTAACCCCTCAATCTCCTTCCTCCTCCTCCACCTCTCCCTCTTCTCGCTCCTCCGCTCATCTTGCCTCTCTGACGCCTCTCAGACCTTCAACCTCTTCATATCCTCCCTCGACTCTCAATGTGGTAAGCTTTAATACCCTGATTTCTTGGTTTTCTAGGGAGAAGGGGATGATAATGGATGAGATTAGTTGTAATTATTTGTCACTGGGAGCCACGTTGGCAACCACGTTGGCATCACGTGAGGCATCACGCGAAAAATTTCGCCAGAAATTTGAGTCCGGACGAATTTGAGGCCCATTTGTCGTCGGAGAACAAATAATATACCACTATGTCGAGAAAAAATAATATACTAATATGTCCCCAGAAAAAAAATATACCAAATTGTCACTAAGGGTAAACAAAATATATCAATTTGGTATTTTTGCCTCTTTTAATCTATCGATAAAATTCCTCGAAACGAGTGGACATATATAACTCAAACTAAAGTAATCAAATGCACTTACAGAAAATACTGTTTCTGACAAAAAATGATAGGCTAGGCCATTACTAGTATTTTTGAGATATTAACTAGCTAGTGAATAGATGATAATATAACAAAAATAGCAAAGAAAGAATTTGAAGTTTACTGACAATGAGGGAGTTTACAGAATGAAAAAAGTGCCAACAATGAAATAAATTCTTATTAGAATGAATGAAGACTTGCAATTGAGAAAATGCCATAAAGGCAGTTAGATATCTTGCAGGATCTTCTAGAGCACTCCACAGGCTTTTCTCATAGGAAACAGATTCCTTTTTTGAGCTCCATGATAATGAAGCAAAAGGGCTTTGTGCAGCATACTTGTGAATTTTTCTCAAAATCCTAGGCAAGATGAACCAAGCTGCTACAGTAGCAGATACAGTCCCGCCAACTGGAACTATCACGTTTTCAAGACAAGGATGTGAATCATAAAACTGTTGTATGTAAGGACTAATCTCATCTGATAACTCTTTAGCCTTATTCCCTATGCTGGTAGCAGCATCTACAGCAGATTGACGAGCATGATTTAGGGTGTCAACCCATTCGCTGCCAGCTGCATCAGTATTGTTATTTGAAGATGTTTCAGCAGTGGCATTCCAGTGATCATCTCGCTTACCTCCAGACTGTGATGAATATGCTCGATGAACGAACACTGAACTTGCACTAAAACACAATGGATCACATCGAGAGTTCAAAATATTCCTGACTGACTGACTGCTATTTAAGGATCTTTTTGAATATTTTGTAGAAGAATCAGCTTGAAGTTGTTGAATTCCCACAAAAGATGAAAGAGGAAGTGTTCTACTATTTCCTTTATCCAGATACCATGAAGGCCCGCATGCTTCTTTGCTTTTACTAGATGTACAAGAGCCTGATGCAGTTGGAAGACCATAAGAGCACAGTCTTTGACTTCTAAAGCAAGATGCATA